TATTTAGAGTATTCCTTTTTCTTCAGCATGCTTCCTTTCTCCATTCCCTTTGGTGGTTTAGAAATATGTATGTATTTTAAATTTAAACATTCATTGTATTTTTGTTCATACCTTGTATTTCATAATACTGTATGAAGGAAAATATTTATTTTAATATCTACAGAAATTTTATTTAGTTCTCCTAAAAAGCTTTTTTTTAAAAAAAAAACATTAATTTGTTCCTATGCTGTTGGTATATTTGAGATCAATTTGAATGCAAGACAAATTTTTCATTTGCATATGTGTGATTTCTGTGTGTTAAAAATACTGGGTGAATTTAGAAAACTGTATACAGCAGAACGAGACTTGTAGGATTACACATAATGCACACATACATACATACACCTGAAAAACTCTCACCAGCTATCATAGTTTACCACGTGTGTTAGGAGCCTTCCTTGTTTACGTCTTTTGTTAGAACTTTCTGTTTGATTCTGGTAACCTTTCTTCCACCACTTCACAATATCTCATAAGTTGCAGCCATTCTGACACCCACTTTCACAAGCAAACTTCTGGTCTTGTGCCCCAACCCTATTTTCCTATAAGTCCTTTGTCCATGCATGATTTTGCATTGTGCCATGAATTTTAGAAATGTGAACACTGTCTTATAACTGAATTCAATATGTATTCTAATGAAATGAAATGAAAGCAACAAAGCATGGTGCTTTTGAAAGACACTCTAATTTCTGGTGAAAAGTGTCTTTAACACATGATCCAAAATAAGGTTTATTTTAAAGAAAAAAGAAAAAGCTATGCATAACAATTTTCTTCTCCCACTTACCTTTTGGAGACACAGGCAATGTTGTTTCTGAAGGCTTACACTTCTGTAAACAAATCTGCTACACCTAAAATGCCTTGGACTTCGATGTGCAGTCTGGAAGACTCCTTTCCCGCAAGAGAGATTTTTCTTACCAAGTTACTTTAAGACATCAAACCTGAAATGGCTCCTATCCAAGTATATTATGTGAATTGGACCTTTCCATCGAAAACTTAATTTACTTTCAGCAAGCTTTATAAGTATGTCTGGGTATCTGCATTTGCATAATCACTACTCCCCCTGCCCTTCTCCTTTGCATCTCTCTCAGGAACAGAAATGTATGGTTGCCAGATATATTTGGACATGACTACATGTGACTCTTAATTCTTAGAATTGGTGTTCTAGAACTCTTGACACTGAACCTTAATGTATTTTTCATTAGTGTTTAATATTAAGAAATCCCATTTTATGGAGCCCAAGTATTAAATTACTTCATTTGGGAGGGACCAAGTGCATTCTCCATCTTTTTCCTGAGGTGAGAAAAAGAATGAAGCTAAGATGATTTGCATTTCATGAGGGCTTATGGTATGGAAGTATTCCACTCAGAGCAGCAATCCATTGTGAAAGCTTTTAAAGACAGTATTAATAAATAGGGAAATTTCACATATTTAAAGTATGTAAATAAAAACACAGAATAAAATAAATATAAATCAAAACGCATGTATATATAATCAAAAAGACTATACAAAGCAGTTCTACTGGCAGCAGAAATGGTATAATATAATACCACGATTGTAGTTTTAGTGAAGTAGAATTAAAGTAGAATTTTTTATCATTTTTTCATAATAATAAGGACGTTGCAAAGATTTTGAGGAAATCCAGGAAACAGTAAATATGGATGATAATGAGTAAATTTTTTTGAACAATTGTAATGAATATAAGCTTTCTTTCTTTTGAACACCTGTACTGACAGAAACACTACTGATTTAAATAATAGATGTTCTATGTACCATTTAGAGGCATTATGAACCCAAGACCTAAAATTGATTCCTTGTCATTTTCTATCTCTGAACTCCCACCCTTTGCTTACTTTCCCTGTGTCATTAAGTTCATGAATTTAAATGGCAAATCTCTAGAGTGTGTTACTATAGCTCTTTCCATGTCTTGGAGGGGCATGATTTTAAGCACCCTCTTCAGGGTATCATTGTCCTTCCCCATAGCCCTTAGAGAGATCTCACTGAGACCTCCAAAGGGGAAACCTTCTGCTCTGTGAGCTATCAAATAGGTATCCAGTGGCTACATCAGAATGAAAGAGCCAGAGGAACACTGAGGGTGGTTCTCTAGGTCTGATGGACCAGCAAAACACTTTTCTGTCAATAAAATCTTTTAGGAATCTTACTCTGTACCTAACACTGTACTCATTGTTATATGGTAAACAAAAAAAGTAGATGATTTTGCTCTAAGAAACATGAGTTTACTTTAGAAGATAAGACAAAAACATGAGATATCAGTGAATGCTGTAATATGCAAACTCAGGTGCCAAATTTATGATAAGAATAGTAAGTGTTAAAGTCAGAGAAGAGGTCATATTTATTCTCTAGAAGAGTATAATGGAAACAGTACTAGGCTGGGTACCATAAGACAGAGGCAGGCAAATTCATGCAAGTTGAATGATTTTGAACAAGTCACTTGTCCTTGATGAACCTTGGGTTTCTCATCTGTAAAATGGAGAAGGGAGGATGGAGGGCTAAACTAAGTTATCCCTATGGTCATTTCCAGTCTTAAAGTTTCATATTTCTACTACATTCAATAAACAAACACCACTGATATACTATGTCCAAACACATTTTACATGAATTAAACTTGCTAAGAAAAAAAATGATTACAACCATTTTACAAATGAGTGGTTAAAGCTTCAAAATAGCAGGGGCAGAACTCAAACCCAGGTTTGCCATACCCTCACATTCTGTGCACTCTCCACTCTCCTGTGCTGCACAACATTACACCACACTGCCTTTTTTTCTACATTTAAAGAGATATGATCTAGTATGTAAATATACTTATCATCAAATATCTGTAATACAAGGAGGTATGTCATAAGTGAAAAACCCAGAAAATGTGGGAGATCCTGTGTCTCTAAATCTTAAGGAGGTGAAAAAAGAACTTGTATTACAGAGATCTGCAATGCAGTGAATAGAGCACTAGCCAGAGTCAGGATATGTGGGGTCTAGTCTTGGCCTTGCCACTCACTTGCCAAGTGTCCCTGGACAAGCTCAATTCTCTGAGCATTGGCTTTCTCATATGCACAGTGAGAGGCTCTCTAAGGTCCTTTGCATCCTAGCATTCAATGCTTCTTTGAGTCCCAGGGTGGAAAGCATACTTCTGGTTATAGTTATAAGTATGAGCCCAGAGGTTTAAAAAGAATAATGAGATATTAAGTAGTTATGATGATTTTTAGTGAATATGGGATTTGAGTTGGGCCTGGAATAATGGGGATGATTCAAATAATTCATGAAGCACTTTAGTTTCTTTTAAATACACAAGGGTAGCTAACTATCGAAAGGAATTATTTGTATACAATGAATGATCTCTAATTCATTCCCTATCTTTTGTATAATTCTGTTGTTCATATAGCATGTTCATTTAAAGAGAGATCCACCCATACTAGAAATGACAAACAAGATTTGTCATGCTCTTGGGGTACTAGTATAATTTTTAAATATGAAAACCATATCAATATCTTAAAAATTCAAGTTTGAGGTGGAAGGACTGAAATAAGTGGTGTGTGTGTGTGTGTGTGTGTGTGTGTGTGTGTGTGTGTGTATGTGTGTGAGATCAGCCACTGCAAAGGGAGTATCTCCACAAATAAGCTGAGCCCTTTGCTAGGCATCAAAAGCCTCTGGCATTTTTCTGCTTTTCAGTTCTTAATCATTTGGGAGGAGGGACAAAGCCATGCTGTCTGCAACGTTTATCCAGACCATGCTGGCATTACAAGAAATCACTTGACATCTATTATGTTTCTGCTGTAGAAGAGAGGTGGCTATGAACTACAATAATGATTTCTTTTCAAAGGGGTTTAATTGGGGTATTTCTCATGGGCCAAATTCTAACTCACTGTCTTTACTTGTGCTTACCAGGAAAACAGTGGAAAACTACCAAACAATAGCAACAACAGAAGTCTGAGGACCTCTGTCCCAGGCTGCCCCTCTGCAAACAGGAGGAAAAAAAACATTTTTCCTGCTTCCCTGCTGCTAATATGGTAGAGGTTATAGAAAGATGTGGCAGGGGTTTCTGGGTGCAGACTGTGCTTTGCATGGCCATGGAAATATATATATATATATATATATATATATATATATATATATATATATATATATATATATATATATAATCTTGTAAATTGTAATAATATATACCGATAGCAAAAGATGAATACAAGTCATGTTTGACTTCTGCAATTAGAAGAGGTGCTCAAAATGGTTACCATCAGCATCCAGACACTTCTGATTATGGCAAACTACTGCTTAAGCAACGTTGACCAAAGTGTCCACTTGTATACATGCTTTGGCACACCCGGTGTATTAACCTGAAATTTTTTCTTTTAGCATGTTATTTTACAATCAGCATTCTGAGTAGTGGGGCTGGCAAAGAGATTAGTTTCATGCAGTTGTGTTACACACTTGTAAGCTGTTTTTCTGAAGTATGGATTTGCTCCTGTGTAGGCAGGCTAATATTCTTTTTCGAGGTTAGTCAGAAGGTGGCCTTATTCTTTTACTGGAAGTGTGGGATGATATTCCTTGCAATAAATTTGTGCCTTTCACTGGTATTTTCTGAAACAAGACTTTTGCAACTGATGGACATCAGCTCATTTCTGTTCTGTAACTTCATGTCTTGTTGATTTATTTGTTCAGTAGCAGAAACTAGGGCAAATTGTGTGAGGTGGCCTCATTTACTTTTTAGCTGCTATAGCCCTGAAGAATTTACATGTAAATGCAACTGTGAATATTTTACATTTCATGAGCGTGTAGCACATGTTTTTGGAAGTTAAGTGACATTTTTACAGATATACTGAACTTAAAACTCTTCCTCTCACCCCACAGATTATATTATTTTGAAATCTGATTAAGTCTGACAAGCTGTGTTTTCCTGACTACCAAGTGATAGAGTAAGTCTCTATTTTGTGTTTTTCTTCTCTCCTCTTTAGACATGCAGAGCAGCCCACACAACCAGTTCACCTTCAGACCCCTCCCACCTCCACCTCCACCTCCTCATGCTTGCACCTGTGCTAGGAAGCCAGCCCCTGCAGTGGACTCTCTTCAGAGGAGATCAATGACTACCCGCAGCCAGCCCAGCCCAGCTGCACCGGCTCCCCCAACCAGTTCACAGGACTCAGTTCATCTGCATAACAGCTGGGTCTTGAATAGCAACATACCACTGGAGACCAGGTACTTGCACTATTATTTATCCCACTGAAACTTAAGGATTGGCAGAGGGTGATTTCATTGAGTGCAGAAACTCACTTCATCACAGACATCTGCAGAGACACACACATGAGAACAGAGATACACACCCACATGCATGGGCAAAAAGGCAGTCCCCTCTGCAAACACATATGCTCACACAGGCACACGCTTCTAAATTCAGGCATACCCTCATACACAGACCACAGCAGATGCACGTGAAAAGATGAGAACATAGATGCATAAACACCCCACCGGCAGACACCCACAAAAACATAAGAAGCAAAGCCATTATCTGAACTATCATTGCATCTTCAAACTACTAAAAGGTAAACATCACTTGTTTTAAGAAACAGCAATATTGCAGGAAATTTCAAACACAATTGGAGAAATAGCAATTGTTTGCACTTTATTTATTATATGATTTTTTTAAAAAGTTGCCTTCAAGCATTTTTTTAAAAGGATTTGCTTCATGAACTAGAAGTCCATGTGTAACTAGATTCTGCATTTAGGATGAAATTTGGTCTTTTGAGCAAAGAAGCTTGCCTCTATTTTTCTGTTACTTCATGTATTTAGGTTTTCCAGATTCACTGCTCAAATCTTTGTCATGTTGTTAAAGTTTACTCCTCCACAGCTCCAGGTTCCTTTATCATAATAGACTATAAACACTATATGGGATTAACTGAGTAATTGTTCATCATTTCTAGTCACTATCTTAAATAAAAAATTACAACTTTCTATTAACATAGAAAAACATTACCTAGTAAAAGATAGTATTCTGTTGTCTTATAAACTGGAGAACCACCCTTTGTCTTCCACATGCTTCTTTCACCAAAGCTTTTTCTGAACACATTGTTATGTAAACAATGGGTATAATGTATCACTTGATAAGCATTGTCTGCTGTCAGTTGTGATCAATTCTTATCCTAATATCTGGAAATTGAAATGGAAAAGGGAAAGCTAATAAACTCACATTAAAAGACTGGTTATTTTTTCCCTGAGCAGCATATTAAGTTAAATGCCAGCCATGGCATCAGAGAATATGTTCACCACAAACAAACCGAAAGCGTGGCCCAAATCCAGGAAACTCTGTATCATCCATCACTTACTAGATTACATAGTTTCATAAACTGATATTTCTGATATCTCCCAAGAGAAAATATAGCAGTGGGCACCTATGGCAAAGATAATGCAATTAGAACTGTGTGAGTGATAGGGTTTGTGTATCATTTGTTTAAAATTGAAAGTGGAGTGGTGAATGAAGTGAGAGAAGCAGAGTGATCAATGTTCAGTACATATTCAAGGAGTTTTCACTAATGGTGGTGATTTACACACTCTTTTTAAAATTCCTTTGCAGAGCTTAGTGATAAAGAGCTAAGGAAATACTGTGGCAATCTGGTTAACTAGCAATCCTGATAAGCAAACATGCCAAATTAACAAGAAATCTGGAAGAAGGATGGGAAATGGGCTCAGACAAATGGAGAGAGAAAACTATTCTTATTTGAAATGTACATCTAGGCATGTTTGTACAAACTGCACCCACGGACCTTCTGTATACAAGAATTAATTGGTCTCATTTTCACAAGACACAGAGAAGAGCATAAGTTTTCATGTGAGACTGAGCAGAGAGTACCTTTTTAGTACATTTGAAAATATATTCATTATCACATAGATGATTTTTTTAAAAACCTAGAAACCCTATCATCCTGATTAGCTAGAATTTTCCAAATATATCCTTTATTTATTTTTTTTAATTGTTAGTTTCAGGTGTACAGAACAATGCAATAGTTACCCTTTTCACCCTCACAAAGTAACAACCTCCCTCCCCCATCTATTGCCCTCCCACCCCCGATATCATGCTTATCTATTACAATTCCATTGAATCCGTTCCCACTCTCTACTCCATGTCCC